TTTTTTTTTTTTTCTATCAAAATAAAATTTTATACCACCTTTTATTCCACAATGAAAAGAAAAAATACTCTTTATAAATAAAATTTAAGCGGTTATGTAAAAAAGTTTTTTTTTCAAAAAAAGAGTAGAGATTCTATTTAGAATCAGAATTCATGAGGACTTTCTTTTCCTTTGCCATCCTCATTCTCCTATATTTATGTCTAAACAATAATCCCACCACCTATAAATCAATCGTACTCCTTCCTCTTTCCTCGAATTCCTAGATAAAATGTTCGAAACTGTTGTAAAGTAGCTCGCCATTTTCCTCAGAAAAGTCATCGATTTCAGGGTGCAGAATAATTTTTATTAACACGATTTTTATTTCACTTGTGAATACGATTAAAATCATTTCCGTCTCAGAAACAATAATTTCTCATCCGAATATATTTCACCCTCCTTCTCGACACGAAATATCTCAAACTATCAATAATTCTCTTCGAGGAATTTTCCAAAGGATGGTAACCACCACGAAATTCCATTCAAATTCAAACATCTTTATTAACTAAAATTAAATTCGAAATCGAAGGGGAAAAGAAGACGCTCGCACCCAATTACGCAACTAATTATCCCCCTCCACTCCCCCTCCTATCTCGATTTATCTTCTCTAAATGGCGCGCGCCTTTGGATTCTCAACGTCGGTTCTCTTTGGCTCGTCTCGAGAGCCAGAGCTTATATTTTTTTCGAGGTGTTCATTAAAGAAAGCCTCTTACCGGCCCCTTCTTATCTCGGCCCTTTTTCCGGGACGAAACGACACGGCCTCGTCTCGCACGCCCGCCAAACGAGGAGGCAGAAAAAGAGCAAAAAACTGAAAATAAGACGATCCAAAGACGATGCCAGGATAGAGATTTACGCGGGAGGGATTCTTCCTCCCTGAAATTCTCTCTCTTTCTCTCTCTCTATGATCGTGCGTATTTCACTTATGTAATTGTGAACAAGTTTGAATGAAGCATTTTGAGAATTTTAGGGGGGGATTTTATTTTTGAAATAAAACGAATGGATTTGAGTTAGGTTTCTTTTAAGCTTGGTCGTTTCTTGAATATTTTTAAGAGTCGTGTTTATACCATGTATATTCATTTACCATGGGTAAAGAGTTAATGTATAATGAATCTGTCTTTTTAAATTTATTTTTATCTCGTATTTTTCCATGTATAATCTGAAAGCCAGTGTTAAATAATATACGTTTCATTTTATTCTATTTTGTAAACACGCTTGTTCCAAATTTATACATCTATTATTTTCCAAATATTATTTCATTATTGTTCTCTTAATTAATAAATATAACACACCTATATACATTCCTAATCGAAATGAAAAACAATCAAAGATACAACCATCACGAGATATTTTCGTAAAAAAAGAACCACAAAATCACTTTCGAAAGCTTACTATACTATACTTACATGTTCGAAATGTGAAGAAAGAAAAATTGGGATCGAAAGCGAAAAAAAAACTTTTCACGCACAAATTAGCTACTCGTAGCGCAGCGTTGAAATCAATTTCGATTCTCCGTGTATCCGTGGTTTTCACGCTCGAACGCGCCCCCTCATTAATCACGATTGCCCGCATCAGCGGGAAATTTCATTATTTCTCCACG